TTACGTGTACACATGTGAATCTGTGTAAGTTTATGTGTGCCACGAACATGCAGGGGCCTACAGGGGTGATTTCCTGAAACTGGAATCCAGGTAGCTGGGAGATACCCTGTGGATGCTAGCAACTGAAAATGAACAAGTGTTCTTAACCACTGAGCCACTCACTGAGCCTCTGTCCAGCCCAAGAACTAACTGGCTTCAAATGGTAAATGTTCCAGGTGTATTGCTGTATGTCTTTAATCCCAGCAGTTGGGAAGCAAAGGCAGGTAGATATCAGCAAGTTCAAGAACAGCCTGGTCTACATAGAGAGTTCTAGGACAGCTACCTAGTGAGAGCCTGTCTAAACAAACACCTAATAAGATTTTAAGAAGGTATGTTCTGGCTGGCCATCAGTTCAATAGTAAGAAGGTATGTGCTGGCTGGCCATCAGCTCAACAGTAGCTCACTTGACCAGCATGAGGGACCCTGACTTCATCCCCAGACCTACAAAAGGGAAACAGAGAAACACCAGCGAGTCACTTTACTGCTAAATAAAATTCGGTTTTTTACCTTAAAAAGAAAGAAAGGGGGAGGAGGGAGGGGAGAGGAAGGGAAGAAGGAAGATGGAGAAAAACAAAACAGTTGGTCAAAGGCTTGTCTTGCAGGCATGAAGTTGTGGACTTGATCCCAGCACTGTTAACTAAACAAAAACAAAGGTTTTGGGGCGACTTTGTGGAGAGCCTTTAGGAAGCATGGGTGTGTGTCTGGGCCCATCAGGAACGCACCTTCATTCTGAAAATGAATCTGACAGAATTCAATAACTTCATGAAGACACTGGAGTTTTGGCTTCAGATGACTGAATAGTCATATTCCCAGGATAAATCATGAGTGTAACCTCAGGATGCCTCAGTTTCCCTATTTGCAAAAGGAGTATGATTGTAGTGCCTCTCTGAGTTGTCATGTAGTTGACAGTGTCTGATATTTTGTCAGCACCATTAAAATATTTGTTAAATAAACTCAAACAGAAGTTCTCAAGGATGTCTTCCGCAGCACTTGGCTCCAGGCTTTTCAACAGTTACTATCAAGCTTGTTAGATTTTCATATGCACGCTTGTCAGATGCTTAGATGACGTGAGTGACAGATGATGAAAACAAAATCCAAAAAAAAAAAACCTTGAGATGCTCACTATGAAGCACAGTGTATGAGATGAAATTAAAACACTTTTATGGTTTTTCTTTTCTTATTTTCCTGGGTTGGCTAAAATAGCCTAACAAGCAATTAAGGAAGGAAGTTCAAGATGCGTTCCATCATCGTGGGGAAATCAAAGTGTCAGGACCTTAAACTGGCTGGCACACACAGCAGCTGCAGAAAGGGAATGGATGCTCGGCTCACTCCCTCCACTTTTTTTTTTTTTAAGTTACATTTCTTTTTAGATTTCTTTATTCATTTAATGATTGAGTGTTCTATCTGCATGTAAACCTGCACGCCAGAAGAGGGCATGAGATTCCAGTACAGATGGTTGTGAGCTACCATGTGGTTGCTGGGAATTGAACTCAGGTCCTCTGGAAGAGCAGCCAGTGCTCTTAACTGCTGAGTCATCTCTCCAGCTGGGGGGGGACTCTCTCCACTTTACAAGGTCCAAGAGCCCAGTCAGTTACGCCCACAGCAGGTAAGCTAATCAAGATGGCCCTCCACAGGCATGCCCAGGCTCACCTCCACGCTGTTCTACACGCTGTCAAGATGACCGTTCTAACCTCACATCTAGAAAGACATCTTAACAAATAGATGCAAGCCCCCTTCTTACAGTTCTATACTAACTTACTGGGACTTCCTGAGGGCTGTTAAAGGGATCCGACTGACTCCGACTCAGCATGTGGAAAAGTACGGTTAGCAATTACTGTGCTCTTCAGCTGTAATGAGAAAACTGAGAACCCGAACACCGAGAAGGGGCCCTGGCCAGCGCGAGCACAGCAGGCCTGCCTGTGAAGGCGACCCCCCCTTGCTAAAACTTTTAGATTCCACTCCTAAAGCTGGCCACCCAGGTCTGTTTCCTTATCAGCCACTTCCTCCTCCTGAGGCTGACCAGCAAGTCACAGCTATCACAGTAGTGAAGTCCAGCAATCAAAGGTTCGATTTGGCTCACCTAATTAATAGGCCCAATTAAGGGGCTGGAGTGATGGCTCAGCAGCTAACAGTACGACTGCTCTTCCAGAGGACCTGAGCTCAATTCCAAGCACCCACATGGCAGCTCACAGCTGCCTGTAACTCCAGTTCCAGAGGATCTGGCACTCTCCAACAGCCATGCAGGCAGAACACCAATGCACATAAAAAAAAATATAAATCTTTTAAAACAAAACGAAACATTAAAATAAGATGCCTTCACCATTCTCAGGGTTCTCCCTTCTGTTCATAAGCTGCCTTTTGCTATGGGCTGAGTCTATCTCCTCTCTATCCAGAGGCAGTCCTTTGTGCTTCTCCCTCTTCCTCTATGGCCTGCCTTTGTCCCTTATTCCCTGCCCTCTGTCCCTCTGGGACAAATAAATCTCCTTTGTGCTTGGTCTTGGGGTGCCTTGAACCCACTCTGAGGTCCCTTACACACTTGTGGTATCTCAGTCCACCACAAGAAGGAGGACGTGGGGGCTGGAGAGACAGCTCAGAGGTTAAGAGCACTCGCTGCTCTTCCAGAGGTCCTGAGTTCAATTCCCAGATATAGTAAGAGCTGGTGTGCAGGCAGAATGTTGTATAAATAAATCTTAAAAAAAGGAAAAAGAATGAGGACCTGGCTTCAAACCCCCGGACCCTGTAAAAAGCCAAGTGTGGTAGCAGGTCTGTGATCTCAGCACTGAGGAGGCAGAGAGAGGTAGATCCCTTGAGAGCCACTGGCCAGCCAGGCTGCCCTAACCTCCCAGCCAGTAAACTATCACAAAATGAGGAGAGAGCGTGGGGGCCGTGGGGGCCACACACGTGAGTGCACGGCGCAAATGCACACAGCTGTGTTTATCGTGTCCCCGCTAATCCCAGCACTCCAGAGGCGGGGTCAGGCGGGTCTCCGTGAGTGTGAGGCCCCCCTGGGCTACACAGTGAGACCCTGTTTCAACACCCCCCTCCCCAACAAAAAAGCAGATGCACACTCACTCAAGACATAGCTTGCTCACCTGCTCAGGCTCCTAACTAGCCTGACTGCTGACACCCGGATGAAGAAGGGCTGAGGACACAGATACGCAGACAAGCTGTGTGGCAGGAAGGAGTCATATTCTCACGAGAGGGACAGAGAAGATCCTCAGGGGGGCCTCAGAGGATGGCCTCAGGAGAACTTTCTCCAGGCTTCCATGGACTTGCTGTAGCCCGGCTCTTGAAATGCTACAGGCTTTACCTGACCCCTTCCCTGCAGGAGATGAAGCTACTTGCAGGCCCTTTATCAGCTTTTCCCGAGTTACACAGGAATTACAACTTAGTACCTAATCTTAGAGCATCACTACACGAGTCTGGGAATGGGCATACTGGAACCAAATCATAGTGTCTAAAAAAAGGTCTATTTACTTTTACTCTCTAGGAAAAAGAGGATTAATTGTATTAATTATACAACAAAGACGTTTATTCTAATCTTTTTCCAAATATTTGGGAGATCTGGGTTTTATCATTACAAAGATATGGAAAGTGAACTGTTTTTTTTTTTTTTAATTAAGCCAAATATTTGTTTTCTAGAATCTCCAAGGAAAGTAATTAATCTGAAACTGTACAGTTCAGACAGGCTCATTCTGATCCCATGGAGCAAGCACTACCCAGGCAGCAGGGATCCAGATGGCCTAGGGACCCAATGGGTAAACAAAGGTTGGAGGAAGCATGTTTTTAACCAAAGCATTTGCATGCATACATAAATTATTATTATATAGATTTACATATTTCACCTAATTATCAAACAAATGTGTGTTCCTTGCTTAAAAGCTTGAAAATAAGCCAGGCAGTGTAGTAAACACCTTTAACCCCAGCACTCAGGAGGCAGAGGCAGGTGGATCTCTGTGAGTTCCAGGTCAGCCTGGTCTACAAAGAGGGTTCTAGGATACCAAGGCTACACAGAGATACCCTGTCTCAAAAAATATAAAACCCCAAACCAAACCAATCAAAAACCTTTAATCTCAGCCCTCAGGATGTTGAGGCAGGAGATCTCTGTGAGTTCAAGAACAGCCCGGTCTACAAAGCAAGTCCTGGACAGTCGGGGCTTGTTACACAGAGAAACCATGTCTCCAAAAACCAAAAACCAAAGTAAGTAAGCAAGTAAACAATAAATAAAATAATAAAAATTAAAACCTTTAAAAATAAAGTTAATCAAAGCAAAGTGAAACCAAAGTGTCTACTGTTCAGCTACCAGATAAGAAACTTTTGTGCCTGGCCTGTGGAGGCAGAGGCAGGTGGATCTCTGAGTTTGAGAACAGCCTGGTCTATACAGTGAGTTTCAGAACAGCTAAGGCTGCACAGAGAAATACTGTCTCAAAAAAGTTTTAATAAAAAAGAAGAAAAATAAATTCCTTCATTGTATTCAGTTGGCTTGGAAATCTTTTGCCATGAATTTAGAACCATCTAACCCATATACTTAAGCTAACCAATAATGCAAAGCAAAATTGATTAGCTCTCTATATGCACACCAATCACAGCCACAGAATACCATGGTTTTAAGATAGATTTTGATGGAATGTATCCCCCCTTTCAGAGAAGACACATAACAGTAAGAGGTAGAACTGATACAAAATTCTGAATCCCAAATCACTAACTCTCAGAGAGAGGTAGAACTGATACAAAATTCTGAATCCCAAATCACTAAGCAAAGGCTGAGGACAACAGATACTTTCCAACAGTGCTCAACGCTAGCTCCAGAGCGGCTCAGCTCAGCCCAGGGCTCTGAACAGCAGGCCGTTACTGTTACCTTCTTGTTTCCATCCCAGCCCCCCCCCCCCCCAGCTCTGAATGGCCGTTACTGTTACCTTCTTGTTTCCAGCCCAGCCCAGCCCGCAGGCCGTTACTGTTACCTTCTTGTTTCCGGCCACCCCGTCCTCGCAGTCCAGCACTGCACAGTCTACATTCAAGGATGGGATCTTCCTTATCTTCTTCTCATCGTTCCCAGGCACGTACAGCACTGCCCTGCGGGGCACATACTTGTGACTGGACAAGGAGCTGAGCCCAGGCCTGCAGACCCTGGCCGCAAGGGATGCCCTCCTGCAAGGGAAGTAGCTACGGTTAGTCCAGAACGAGAGTCTGCATTTATAAAGCTGTGACCAAATTCTTTGCCTATTCATACACTCATTTTGACTTTTTAAAGCTATTTAAATATTTTTAAATTACATGTATACGGTGCGGGGGAGGGCACATACGTGCATGCAAGTAGCCAGGTGCCTGAAGAGACCAGAAGGTCTGTGAGCCCCTGGGGCTGAAGTTACAGGGGCCATGAGCCACCAGGGTTGATGCTAGGTGCTGGACGCAGCCCTCAGCACTCTCAGGCACTGGGGGATTTCTCTCGCCCTATTTTGATTTGTTTCTTGCTTGCTTGTTCGTTTGAAAGACAAGTTCTCACTATGTAGCTCTGGATCTACTTGAACTTACTGGGTAGACCAGGCTGGCTTTGAAGTCACAAAGATCTGCCTGCCTCTACCTCCCAAGTACTGAGATAAAAGGTGTAAGCCACTGCCTATGTTTTTGCCTTCTTGAGATGGGTCTTATTAGGATGGTGCCTGGGCTGGACTCAAACTAAGGGCAAACCTTGGAGACTGATTCACATACTTACTACATGTTTGGATTTAAATACTCAATTTTCAACCACAAAGAAGCCATGCATAGAAATAGGAGAATATGACCCTGCACAAGAGCAAAGCCAGATCAGTAAGAGCCATCTGTAAAAATCCGAGACAGCCCCATCATAACACGATGTTAAGACAACTAGCATGTCTTAGGTTTCTTGTTGTTGTAGTTGTGTTTTGTTTTCTTGACGGGGATTTGTTCTAGAGCCCAAATGAGCTGAGCGCCAGGGCTTCCGCTTCACCCCCCTGTGCTGGGCCTACACTTCCATTGCAGCAGCACAGCCTCCTTGCTCCCAGCGGCCCAGCAGTGACCAGAACACAGATCCCAGGGCAACCCTGGTCTACCCTGTGTCCGTCAGGCAGCGTGCACACCATTCCCAACATGTACACAGCTAAGACATACTGAGAAATGGGGACAGTAAATGCAAAGTGACCCCAGGTAACTACTCTCGCCATCAAGCGCTGCATGAGAAGCCTCAGCGGACTCCAGACTTTGCAGCTCCTGCCTGTAATCCCGTGTTCAAGAGGCGGAACCGGCTTACAGAGGTGGCTCCTTGCTCCAGCACTACAGTGTTGGCACGAAGCCCAAAGCCAGTTCCCAGCGATGCACAGCGGGGGCTGGGCAGTTTGCAGCGCAACCCCACCAGCTGGGAGGTGAGGCAAGGCTCAGTCCAGATCGGCTATGGCCGCAGAGCAGACGAAAGAAGGGGGCGGTGGTGGGTGGCCAAGGCAGGGAGAACTTGAGTTTGACTCCACTCTGGGGCACATAATTCGACCTGGCTTAAAAAACACCCCAAACAGAAACAAAAACAACAAACTGGATTCCAGAGTGCCAACTGTCTAACCTACAAGCATCTGCACTCGTGTCTACCTGTAGCTCCTGCTGGGGCAGGACGGGTCCCTGGGGACCCCGGTCTAGTCAAAGTGTGAGCTCCAGGCTAGGTGAGAGAGGGTACTGGAGAAGACACCAGATTTTGAGCCCCACTCCTCACACACACAAGGCCCACCTCTGAGAGTCAGGGGAACTGGGAAGGAAGAGGTAGAAGAAAGGGAAGGAAATGGGACATTGTTGACAGGGTCCAACCTTGTGGCTGAAAGATAGCTAAATCCTGCAGATTATCCCAGCAATGCACTTCCTCTATTGAGAGGGCAGATTTTAATCATTCTGAGCCACTATGAATTAGTTGTGAGGTAAATATATTTGTGTATATGTAATTTCATAATGTATATTTATATCAGAACATCATAGCAAACACCTTCAATATGCAGTCTTGACAATTTTATCTCGTTAAAGCTGAAAAATATTTACAAAGACACCTACTGTTCAATGAAGAATGTTTCAGTTGCTATCTTTACGTGTAAGTTTAATTGTTTATATTATCTGTTCACGTGTGATACACGCTGAGTGTGGGTGGCATGTCTGTGCACACGGAGAGGTCAGAGCAGTCAGTTCTTTCCTTTTACCTTTACGTAGTTTTGGGGGTCGGCTCAGGTGGCCAGGCTTGTCCAGCACTCCCCCCTTCCTCCCGGGCACCTCTCAGGCCTCCTGGCTTCTGGCTTAAAGGAAGATGTCATGTAAATGTGCTAGTGTCTTGACGTAGTGAATAGTCAATGAGAAATACCTACATGCTCCTTGAAGCTCTGACCTTCTGCTTCCACGCAGGTCCCTCATGTTAAACAATTATCAGAAATAATGTCACTTCTTTCTTATTTCTCTTATAGTTGGCTGAAAACTAAAGCATTTCAAAGGTCAAAATGACAGGAAAAGGTGATAGATAACAAAGCCAAATGATTTGAAATTGCTGAAATCCAACCAGTTTTAACCTGTAAAATACGCTTGTTTTTGACCTAGTGTTCTGTGTACCAGAAAGTGGGACGAGGACCAAGCATCCGGGTTCGGGGACAGGGGCGTCTTCCGGGTCCTGGGGACACTGCAGAGGTCCTCTGTGGCCTGCAGACACCGTGCCTGCAAAGGTCCCAGGGCACCCATCCTCCCCAGAGGGACAGACAACAGAGGGGCCTGTGCAAGGTCAGAGGCTCAGGGCCGGACACCGCGAGGACTGGGGGGGAGTGCAGGGCAAGTCTGGAATAAGAAGGAACTTGCCGCTCTGGGATTCCAGCTCCACTGTGGACTCCGAGGTTTCTAGGGGCCTCAGGGCACAGAGCTCACGGTCCACAAAGGGAGGAGTGGTTCTGCGAGTCTCCCCTCCCTTTTGGCTGCTGGGTCCTCCTCCTTCCTTTCCCTGGCTGCCCCCAACCTGTCCTGTGCTTGAGATGTGTTCAGCACTGACAGTATCATGAATACAACCGGGGACAGATGACACCTATTTTCTCTCACACAGTGGAGTAATGGCCGCCTCACAGCCAATGTGTAAATGTACTCAGACAATATGCAAAGCACGAGCTAAAAAAAATGGTGAGTTCTCTCTACTGAGTGACCTCTGCAGAGGTGACATTTCAGAGGGAGGCCCCTCCTGGCCTGGTTCTCATTTTCCACTTTCTTCCTTTCCCTTACCTACTTACCTATTCCCATATCTAGGTCCCAGAGGCAGGAGAGCTCGAAAGCTAAGAATCCATGACCAACTACCTGGGAGCATTTAAATATTTATCAAATTCAGTCAGGGATGGCGGTGACTGTCTGTGATCCCAGCATGGGAGTCAGGGGCTCCAGGTCATTCTTGGCTAACCTAGCCTACATGATACCCTGTCTTAAAACAGTAAAACACACCAAAAATCACTAAAGTCAGGGGCTGGGTGTGGTGGAGTATGCCTTTAATCCCAGCACTTGGGAGGAGGAGGGAGAGGGGTCTCTTGAGTTTGAGACCAGCCTGGTCTACAGAGCGATTTTCAGGACAACCGGAGCTACACAGAGAAAGCCTGTCTTGGAAAACCAAAACCAAAACAAACAAGCAAGCAGACACCACCACACCTTGCCAAATAAATGTTCCTTTGAGGAATTCCCAACTCTGCTTCACCCTGGCTCATTCTAGAGCTCCTTATGGAGGAAGGCCGAGGCCCGCCTTTACGCAGTAGACTTCTGGGCTGCCAATGCTGGACACTGATGTGACGTCATTAGGGCGTGACTGGGGCTTCTGGCCTTTACTGAACTCCTGCCATGGTCTGATCTGCAGCTAGGTGTCCGGGCAATGGTGCAAGTTCTCCCCAGTGTGAGCAGCTGCCCTGACACAAGAGCTTCTGGTCAACAAACACCCCTAAACCACAATTAAAGGCTCAGGCCTAAAATCCCTATAATCCCAGCTCTTGAGAGGAAAAGGCAGGACCACCGACAGTTCAAGGCTATGCTTCATAGCAAGTAACCAGAGCAGCATAACAAGACACTGTCTCAAACAATACAAAATTCAAAAACCAGGTAGAGGGGGCCTGGGGCGAGAGCTCAGGCTGGTAAGTGCTTGTCTCTCACTCAGGAGAAGCTGGGTTCAACCTGCAGACCCACGTCAAAATGCCAGGCCTGGAGCTACACGCTTGCCTTCCTGAGCCAGCCAGGCCTGTCTCAAAGGACACGGACGGCACCCTGAGCACATTGCCCAAAGGTGCTGCCGCGTCTCTGTGCACGTGCACTCACATACATGCCACAAATAAACAGAACAAGGCCGCAGCCCGGGCAGAGTGCTGGCCTAGGGCATGAGACCTCCTTCCGCTCCTAGCACTCGGGAAAAACAAAAGAACCGGGTCCTGGCCCTGCCTGGACGCAGGCCCTGAAGAATCTGCGTGCTAAGTGAAAATCAGCCCACTAGTGCATCCTCCCTGCCCTCCGAATGACAGCAAAACTCACCTACCAATTTCCACCCGGCCTGAGCTATTAATAGCCAGGTACCGATGCCAGCATCTCTCATTGAGGCCCCTCTTAGGTTCTCACTTTGCTCAGTTCCCAAGTGCCCCAGAGATTCCTTCCCTAGTTTGAAAAACTGTTTCAGTTACCATGGCAACAGTGCGCAGACCAGGGGGAGGTCCGTGGATGGAAGAGCCACACACTTGTCCTCCTACAAGCAGAGGAGGCCCTTCGTGAGATTGGTACCCGCTGTAGACAGGTGTGTGGCTGTTCAGAAGAGCCAAGCAAGTATTTCCAATGCGAACCCCCCGCAAACAAAAGAGCACCCCTCAGAAGCTCCAGTCAGGGCCAAAGCAGAACACAGAGCATGTGTTGTGAGGTCTCCACAGGGTTCACTCATGCGTTCCCATGGGCCATGCCTCCCTACCTGAGGCCGCCTTGGTGATCCATGACCACACAGGAGCTGCCTGCCGGTTTCTTGGTCGGGCATGCCCTAGGAAGGAGGTATTTGTACGGTAAAGGACAGACACAACAGCCAGGGACAGCACCCGTCTTTACCGGGTCGTTCGGTGTTGCTCAGGCGTGTACACCACACATGAGCTGGCCTGGGTGGGACCTCAGTGAAGCTTCCT